CCCTCGATGACGCTATCTAAGTTGCCTTTCAAATGATCTTAGTCCCTAAAATAGAATGCTAAGATACTTTGCAACATTTCTAATCATGGTTATACGATGACCCACGCCTGTCTCGTTTACATCCAAAGATAGGGTTGCTTACCAAATCAATGGTAAGACAACAATGTCAAAGGAAAAGAAAAATGAACAAGAAAGACTTTTGAGTAGGTAGAATTCTCCTAATTACTTGCTCAATATTCAAACAAACGTCCTTGCTATTTTCAAAACAAACACCCACACTTTCAAAACATCTTACAAAACTTGAAAACATTTTCAAAAGATCAACATCTTTGTATACATTCTTACGAATGCGAATCATTACAAAGATTGCCTAAACAATGACCTCTTTACAAAATACTTTCAAAAAACACACCAAGCACAATTTCAAACAAAAAAAAGGCAAGTGATCTAGCAAGTAACTAAGAGCCCATGGAAAACCATGGATGAAAAGGGTGCTAATACCTTCCCTTTTCATAATCTACCCCCCGAACTCAAAAAATAATCTCAAAGGTATTTCCTGTGCTTTTTCACCTTTCCTTTTTGGATAAAAGAAAAGTAGGTGGCGACTCTTGCTAACCGCAACATTTCCGATAAAACGCAAAACCCTAAAGTCAGTTCTCCAACCGTATCACACCATGCAAGCCTAAACCTAAGGTTTTTTGTGTTCTTTGTTTGTGATTATTATTCATGTCATCATAAACATCATAACATCATAAATCATTCTCACTAACCATTTCAAGGATTTATGAATTTATCTTTGTTCTGTTTTGTAGGTCATGACTTCCACTCGTAGGAATACCATCTGAGTAAACTTCGTGAAAGTGCGTCCTCAACTTCAAGAGTTAGCATCAAGAGTGCCTGGAGATTCTCCTGTCACCAAGAAATATGGTCGACTTCTCAACTTGGCTACATCAAACTTCCAAGAAGAAATGATGTGTGTGCTTTTCCAATTCTTTGATCCTATGCATCATTGCTTCACCTTCCCCGACTACCAATTGGTACCTACATTAGAAGAATTCTCTCAATTGTTAGGAGTGTTTGTGCTTGATCAAATACCATTCACTGGTTTAGAAGAGACTCCAAAACCTGAAGTTGTTTCCAAATCTTTGAATTTAAAGAGATCTGACATTGTGGAAAATTGGGAGACAAGAAGTGGAGTTAAGGGTTTCTTAGCCAAGTCTCTGTTGGAAAAGGCTCGTTTGTTCTGGGAAGATTTGGATTTTCAAGCTTTTGAGGATGTCGTGGCCCTTCTAATCTATGGTTTGGTTATATTTCCAAATTTGGACCAACTCATAGATGTGAATGCAATTACTCTCTAGATGGTTTATTTCACACCTACCTCGATCAACATTAAAGAATGAGCAAGGCTTGACATGGTCTCAAATATTAATGTCACTCACACATTCTGATATTTATTGGTGTGCTCGATCTATGGAGGACCTTACTATTATTGACCATTGTGGGGAATTCCCTAACGTCACTCTACTTGGCATTAGGGGAGGTATCATCTGCAATCCTTGTTTGGCTTTGCGATAGTTTGGGTATGCTATGAGGGATGTCCCTCATGATGCACTTGTCCAAGGAATTGCATTTGACTACGAGAACGATGTCCAAGGTTATCGTCAGAGATTCATACGAGCTTGGGGCATGGTTAAAAAGGTTGATAGCAAGACGTTGGGACATAAGAACTCCATTCATTTGGAGACTTGTCTCAAGTGGGTGCGAACTCACGCCCAAAACCTCATGATGCCTTATGAAGCCATCTTACCTATCATCATGGAGCCTGTTGTCGAAGGAGATGTTCCGTATACTGTCCTTTATCCTAACATGCCTACTTCTCCTGAAGATCTGCAAAGAGCTTGGATTCAGCTAAAGGAAGAGCGAGACACCTTCGAAACCTAGTTCTATGCAAGTGAAAAGAGGGTTTTGGAGCTTACGAGACAACTTCATGAAGAGCGAAGTTTGAACGCCTACATTGCACCGACGAGGATGCGCTCAGCCTTTTTGTATTAGGAGTTTAGTTTGTGTTTATTTCCCCCGTTGTAAGCCAAAGAGGCATGTTTTTAATCAATTTGAACTTATTAATGCAATTGATGCTTGTTCCTTTTGTCTAAACAAATTTAAATCTTCTAAGTCCTTGAAATCATTTGCATACGCATTTTCATGCATCATACAATAGGTTTCCTTATCTTTCTACTGTTTGTTTCAGTAAGATGGATATCGAACAAACAGTGAAGGACTTGCAATCACATAATTCCCAATTCCAAGCAACCTTGCTGACTCTGGCCAAGGGACAACAAGAGCTGATAGCACTGCTAGCAACCAAAAAGAAGACTAAGAAAAATGCCCTCATCAACATGGGGAAAAGGTTTAAAGGCCCAGTTCGTCAAGTGCAAGTAGTTGAAGAGTCATCCGAGGAAGACGAGAACCAGGTGTAAGAGGCAAAAAGCACTTGTGCTTAGGGTGCAAATGATCAAGCTTATGAGGACGAAGATTACTTTGATGAGTAATACCCACTTGCCGAGGATAAATACAAGCAGTTAGAGGATAAACTGAAAGCTGTTGAAATTCAAGCCGTACCTAGTTTGGATTTTGGTGATATAGGATTAGTACCCGGGGTCGTCATTCCCCATAAGTTTAAAATACCAGTCTTTGCGAAGTATGGCAGGATTTCATGCCCGAAACTTCATTCGAGGCCATACGTCCGCGAGATACAACCTCATACTATGGAAAAGAAGCTTTGGGTCCATTTTTTCCAAGAGAGTCTGGTTGGGACTTAGTTAGAATGGTTCTATCAATTGGAGGATTCTTGCATCCACGCGTGGGAAGATCTAGCCACTGCTTTTTATCATTAGTATCAATACAATGTCGATCTGGAACCAACCAAAGTCCAACTTTAAGGTATGACAATGGGTACTAATGAGGGGTTTAAGGAGTACGCACAAAAATGGAGGGATCTTCCTGGTAAGGTCCAACCACCACTAACTAACAAAGAACTAGTTGACATGTTCATGGGTACATTAACTGGCCCATTTTTCAACCTATTGATTGGCAGTTCTTCGTCTGGTTTCACCGAGTTGATCCTAACTGGTGAAAGGGTCGAAAGTGGCATTAAGAGCAGAAAAATTCCCATGACATCTGCTTCTGCATCCAACGCTGTAAAATTGCTATAGGAAAAAGGAAGAAACCTGAAGAAGTAATGAATAACTAAAGAATGGTCTTGTATTTATAGTAAAAATTTTCCTCCCCATACCAAGTAATAACGATCATTGTTGTGGCAGAGCATCAAGATCCTTAATCTCAATCATGTAAACAAGCACACAATCCAAATTTGTTGGCCATTTACAAGGCAGTTTAATTATTTCATTGCATTCATTCTACCCTTAATCCCGAAGTTTATCCGTAAACCCAAATGAGATAATTGTCAACGCCCTTTGGAATTCAAAAACCAAAATTTGAACCAGCGCCAATTAAAAGATAAGTCGACCTTCTCCTTAACCAGTTTTCCCTTACAAGCATTGGCTTGAGGGATTGTGAGCTGGAATGTCCTCGCTTAATCACTTCGCTTTTAGATGCCTTGTGTTTAAAGAACTATGGATTGAAATGTCCCCACTTAATCACTTAGATTTTAAAAACCTTGTGCTCGGGGGACTGTAGACTAAATATCTTTGGTCAGACCCAACTATGATATAACGAGCCCATTAAAGATCAAAGAACTCAGCCCATTAACTCTTCAACTTGTAAATGACACAAAGAATAATGGAATAAGAAAGGAAGAGATCATGTGGCTAACACACGATCAAGCTCGGCCCAGTTCCTTCATGTTGTATCTCGTAGGACATTGTGTCAAGCCACATTTTACGTAAGTTTAACAATACTTTTTCAATCTATAATTAAAGTATTAATAGTCATATGGGTTAACCACATATCCTACAATAAAGGGATGACTCACCCCACCAGTGACTCAAAACCCAAAGAAATATAGTTGATTTGTAGACGTCATAATTAGTATTTTGACCAACTCCTCAATCAGACAATCACATTTAAATTTATCTAATAAAGCTACTAGATAATATTAACTCACTTTTTACGTATCAGAACCTAAAACTCTTCTCTCAACAACGCAAACATGTTATTATCTATTATACTCAAATCAAGTACAATTCTAAAAATTACATAAATCATAATATTTATAATTTTTTATACTAAAATACCCTTTCTGATCTTATTTTTATGATTTTTTTTAATACATTAAATAACTAATGTACATTGACAATATGCCTACTAGATACATTATCTATTTAATAAATTTATTTTTTTATAAGTAAGACTAGAAGGAGTAATATATTTAAATATAAAAACTAATTTTCTATAAAAATATTAAGTTAATTCCAATAAAACATAATAAAAATGATATATTTTATTTATTTTTTAAATCAAATATTTTTTTGGTCACTATTAGAAATAAATAATATATTTAAATTCATTGAATAAATGAGATATTTGAGGTGAAATATACTAATTATTTAATAAATTTTAAAAATAAAATATTTACCTAAATAACAAATAAAAAATATTTATTCCTTTTTATTTTCCATAGTAATTAATTATTTTCAATTTTCAAGACTTTCAAGTAGGATAAAAAAGAAAGTACGATCCAAAGATTGTTTGGTTTGTTATATTGTACTAGAAGCCTAACCCTTTGTGTTAGACCTAATTCACAATTAATTTAATTGAGTCAATAATAACAATAATTAATTTTAACTGTGAATGAATTATTGTATACCTAAGCACTTCCCTCCACATCAATATCCGAACCAAATTCCACTCTCTCATTCTTTCCCTCGTTTTCTGTTCTCTTTCTCTCTCCCGCTTTTTTATTTTTCTACTATCCAAACACCTAGATCTCAATTCTCACCCGATTCATTTCTATTCTCTCGGAGCTCCGTCGCCGGCAGGTCATGTCCGGCACCCGAGCTCCTCCCTCCGCCGCTGCCTCTCCCTCCAATCCGCCGGAACAGATCATGAAACGACAACCGCCGTTTTCCTCCTTGAAACCTCCCTTTGTAGCTTCCGGTGATTATCACCGGTTTGCACCTGACCAACGAAGAAATCTTGATCAGGAAACTGAAGCTATCGTCGTTAAGACTCCTGTGAGTTTTTTCAAATTTCAATTAATTTTTTTTTTAACGTTTTTGGCGAATTTACTTTTTGTTAGTCAATGAATTTGTTGCGTTTTTTGAGTAGGTTTTCAGTTTAGTGTTGGAATTGGAAAGTGATTTATAACAGTACAGATCCGTTCAATTTTAGGTTTTTTTTGGTTAGGAAACTGTTTGAGGAGTTTGATTTTAGGTTTTAATCAGTTATTGAGTTATTAATTTGTTGAATTTAGTTGTGGGATTAGTTCTTGGAGTTGAGAAAATTGTATTTTTATATCTTGAGGAACTAGTTGCTGAGATGAAATTGAGTTTCTGAAGCGAAGTTATGATATAGAGTGTGTTTTGAAATGGAAAAGGAAATCAATTGTTTGTTTTTATTTAATTTGTGGTGTTATATGAACTTTAGTCTTTAGGTCTAGTACTTGAGCAATGAAGAGGAACTAGGTTTTAAAAAACGGTCGCGGTCGCGTAGAAGCTTTCGCGAGTTCGGTCAGTACAAGTTTGCAACATTGGTTGCGGTCGTCGCGGTGTGAATTGACCATAATATCTCTTTAATATAAAAACGGTGAATAACGGTATCGGTATCGGCATCTGCCAATACCGTTTTGTCGCAGTCGTGACTGTTTTTTAAAACCTTGACGAGGAAGTTGAGAGGATCAGAGGATATGCGTGTTGAGTATCCCATAGGTTGATATCATGATGTGATTGTAAATTGGTTAATTCTAGGTGGGAAGGGTCATATTACAAGGAAAATAATTGGTTGCATTGAATGCTTTAAAATGGTTCGCAAAAGTTGGATTGAGTTTATGTGCAGATTTCTTTTTCTTGGTTATTTTTAAATGAACTTTGCTATTTATCAAATTTGAGGAAAAAGTAAATGGCTTAACATACACAAAGGAAGAGTATTATAGGAAAGTTTAATGTGGATAGAAAAGCAACTCTACTTCAATAACTGCGTGGCTTAACATACACAAAGGAAAAGTATTATAGAAAACTTTTATGTGGATAGTAAAGTAACTCTAATTCAATAACTGCGTTTCGTGACTTGTTTGTTTTATTTTTGGAATCTTTAGCTTTCTCCTTTTTAAATTGAATCATTTTAGTCAACTTAGTAGTGTTGCCGCTTGCCAAATGCATACATTCTTAACAGTGTTATCAAATAGCGGCGCTATGAGCGCTATGGCAGATATCCGTGGTGGTTTTTGGGCTCGCCACAATGGTAAATGTTGGCCGATACTGCTGGTTTTTCCGCCATAATCCACTATATACGCGCCGCAAAGCGACCGGTATGGCGGGATTTTGGCTTTCCGCCATGGACCGCCATCGACAACACTGATTCTTAGGCATCTGCTCAGAAGTGGGTCACTCAATCTTTATGTTACTTGTTGACGAATTCTGAGTAAAGGTGTGTTGCACATCCTTGAAGTGCCTGTGGTACCATGTGATATGGTAAAAACAATTGTGTATACATGTGTGGAATGCCCTCTCTTCCTATTGTGGTTGGGGCTCCGCAAATAAGGTTTTCAACAAGGGTTTCAAGCTAACTGATCATAAACACTAGCATCGACACTGATAATAATTTGTAAAAATGAATAAATTGAACATTATCACATATATAGGTGTCGAGCACTGGATGCGCCTTTGTTCAGAGGTGTCAGTGGCGCGGTGCTATAAATTAGCTGTATATTAGAATATGATGACATGTAAAAACAAATTGTGCATAACTTTGTGATGGACTGACCTGCATTAACTCATAAATGCAGTAGGATGCTGCCCTTTTTCTACCGCTTTACAATATATCTTGACGTATTTAAAAGTATTGTATTGTGCCCTTTGTTGTCAATTTTATAATAAAGAAATATGAAAATAAGTAAATATTTCTTCACACCATATCCATGCTGAATCACGGGTTATTGGCACGGAAGAAGGCCTTGCTTCGATTCAAAATGCAGACTCAGCGGAAATCGAGTGTGGTGTTTGCGGCTGCATTTTGTGCTGAGTTGCCTGATTGCGGGCAAAACAAGGGTCCTACCACATAAAAACAGTTCACTCTGGCCACAAATTGGAAGTTTCCGGCCATGAGCTGGTGTTTTTAAGCAAGAACCTCAAAGACTCACCTTTTGAGAAAAAGTAAAGAAAAATAATGGAGTAGAAAGAAAGACACAAGAAGAAACAAGGAGGAAAATAAAGCTGCAATATTATATGGTGGTTTTTTCTTCTTCATTTTTTGGTCAAATGTAGTGGCTGTCTAATGTATGATTTCAGGGAGGGAACATTTTAAATTTGAGATTTCCTATATTGGGCTTTAAATAAGTCTAATGATGGGCCACCACCCCCTTTTTTCTACCCACACCTCCTTTTTCTACCCAGAGAAGACTAAAATGCCTCAGACATCACCTCTTCCACCCACCCAACTTTTCATTCAGCTCCTCCTCTTTGCAATAGTGGCTATCCAGCTACCCTCTCTACCACTATCCCAGATTTATGGTTTGCCTCTCTGCACTGCTATCCCAGATTAACACATAGATTTATGATTAAATTAGTTATGAAAATGTGATTCTCTCTATTCTGACTTACTCTACATAATCTTTTCTATTGATTGCAATTATTATATTCATACATTTCAGCAACTGAAGCGGAAAAGTGAAGCAGCTGGTTTTGAAGCTGATTCAAGTGTTAGGATGACTCCTGGATCCACTGAAGCAGCCAATAGTCCTTCTCAGACGCCTGTATCCGGAAAGACAGGGAAGGGAGGCAAATCCTCTAGGCTGACAAAATGCAACAGATCTGGAACTCAAACCCCAGGCTCAAATATTGGTGAGTATTATCTTCCAAACTTTGTTAAGAAGGATTCTATATTTATCATTTTCATAACATATTAAAAGAAAATAAAGGTAACCAATATTTTGGTTGACGACTAGATTACTATCAACCAACAAACACCATTTTTCCTTTAAATGCCGATTTTGGCAAGCAAATGATTATATTCTCTATTTAATTTTGGCAGGTTCTCCTTCAGGAAACAATCTCACCCTTGCTGGTCCATGTCGATATGACAGCTCTTTAGGTATTACTTACTTTCTCCGTCTTGATTAGTTCATTTCAATTATCAGAGGTTTATTGTTATTCAATTCTTTATAGTGTAAGTTACACATTAAACACTTGTAGTTTCTCCCTTTTAAAAATAATCTCCACTAATCTTTTTTTTTCTCATGACAGTGAGTCACTTAACCCCTGAACTTTGGTTTAAGTTGAAAATGTGTTTTAGTAACTTTAATGTCAAGTATTGTTTATTGAGTAGATTCTCTTTCTAACACACACTCTCTTATTGGGTGAAATCATGTGGGTTCCAACCCATTTTTAAAATGGCACGACCCACATGAATGTTACCAAATGAGAGATCGTGTATTGGAAAGATTGAGAAATTGTTGTACTTCCATTTAAATTGAAGATTTAATGTTTTTAAGTAAAAGCAATGTTTGGGGTGGTTAAATGGAAAAAACAGGTTAGGTGGGTTTATTTGTAATGTGGTGTAAGTAATAGGGGTAAAGTGTAATCTAGTCTTTCATTACATGTTTTACTGATGAATTAAGTTTCTGGATACATTTTCTCATTATCCTTATCATTTTGTTTAAAAAAATTAGGTCTGTTGACAAAAAAGTTCATCAATTTAATTAAACAAGCAGAGGATGGTATTCTTGATCTAAATAAAGCTGCCGACACATTAGAGGTAACATTTTCTTGTGGTCTGAAGATTCCATGCTGATAACTGAAAAGTTTGATTACTAGATGAAAGCTTTTGTGTCTACAGGTGCAAAAGAGGAGAATATATGATATAACAAATGTTCTTGAAGGGATCGGCCTTATAGAGAAAAAGCTCAAGAACAGAATTCAGTGGAAGTAGGAATTCTTTCTGTTAATCTGATATTGTTGCCATATTTTTTATTCAAGATGTTGAAACACTTCTTATCATCTCCTTTGATAATTGATCAGGGGCCTAGATGTTTCAAAACCAGGGGAGGCTGATGATAGTTTTGCTAGTTTACAGGTTAGGAGTGATTACATTTTGTCTGTGGAAATTACATAGAGATTATTTTCTTTGGAAGATCTAAAGTCTGGTGGTTTAGTCAATTATAATTTCTTGTCAAGAACTTTTCATTATTCAGGCTGAAGCTACCTTGACTTTGAATCATTTTATGTGAGACAGCTTGTCAAGCATTTTTTAATTTATTTGATTGAAGTACATTTCAAACTTTCTGACTTACATGATTTAAAGCATAAAATTGAAAGTAGTATTTAATGCTGACATGTTTCGGTGATGATTCGTTTCATTTCTCATATGCAGGCAGAAATTGAAAATTTAACAATGGAGGAACGCCGGTTAGATGAACAAATAAGGTTCTTGCACTGCTGATTCTTCTTTATTGCATAATTGCAGTGTTTGCCTGTAGTTAAGAGTTTTAAGTTTTTCAATTATTGCAGGGTGATGCAAGAAAGACTACGGGATCTTAGCGAAGATGAAAATAATGAGAAGTAATATTATTTTACCTTAATCCATATTTGGGCCATTTTGCCTATGTTATTTGATGTGGTTATTTTTAATCTATTTCTACTCAAAGGTTGCTTTTTGTCACTGAGGAAGATATAAAGAACCTGCCCTGCTTCCAGGTTAGTTTCCCTATCTATAATTTCAATATATATGGTGGTTCTGCATCCTTTGCTTATATAAAATTCATTTTGGATTTTAACTGTTGCTATTTTCCTATTTCCAGAATGAAACATTGATAGCAATTAAAGCTCCACATGGAACCACTTTGGAAGTCCCTGATCCTGATGAGGTATTTGAGAGAGCACGAGGAGTTGTCTAGAGTAATTAATAACCCATTTATCTGTTTAAATCAAATTCCATCTTTCCTGTCAGGCCGCTGATTATCCGCAGAGGAGATACAGGATAGTCCTGAGAAGTACAATGGGCCCAATAGATGTTTACCTTGTTAGGTACGCTTAATAATATTGGGTGTTTTGCTATCATTTACTTGAAGGGTCATTTAGCTATTGCAATGGCATGGTGAGATGACCATGCCATGTAAAAGCATGATGCTTGACCTCTTGCAACATGCTATAGAGTTGACATTCATGATCTCCCATTTTTCACTGCCAATCTAGTCAATTTGAAGAGAAGTTTGAGGAGATCAATGGTGTTGAGGTTGCACCCAAAATCCCATCTAGTCCAGAGGTTAGCCAGCATCCGTCAACTGTGGTCCCAGAGGACAAAGGGAAGGAAATAGAAGTGCAGAGACCAGACGGTGAAGGGCCTAGTTCAGATCTTACCCACAATCACGACTTTGTGAGTGGGATCATGAAGATTGTTCCTTCAGATGTTGCTGTAAGAATCACCTCAGTCTGAGATATTCGTTATTTGTATTTGCAAAAAGAATAATCACGAGGGGTTAGGTTGGGTACATATATTGCTAATTGTTAGGAAAGTGTATACCTCGAGCTCAGGGTACCAAAGTTCGTGGGTGTCATCTGTCAAAACACATAAGTTACTGCATGTTTTTTGGTGTAAAGGTTTTAGAGCTGTTTCTGATTTAAGAAATAAAAGCAAAAGCCTTGGAGCTAACTTGAAATTGTGGTTTCTTTTTGCAGAGCGATGCCGATTACTGGCTTTTATCAGATGCTGATGTTAGCATAACCGACATGTGGAGAACAGAACGTATCCTCTATAGACACCTTAGTCTCCATTTCATTCATTATTTTTCTCTATCACACACTAGGAGAGAAGTTTGGAAGTTCCATAATTAAAAAAAAAAAAAATTCTTAACCTGGAGATGTGTTGTAATTTCCTAAATATATTTACAGCCGGAGTTGAGTGGAATGAACTCAATGCACTTCAAGAAGATTTTTGTATGGCTCGTGAGGACAATACAACCCCAAATCATCCTTCGAACACAGGTGAAGAGTCTTCTGCAGCCAAGCCTTGAAAGCGTTAATTGTGAATCTAAAGAGAAAATGGCATTCTTTCTCCAACTGAGAACCTATGACATCCAGCCATCTCCCTGTTGTATCCTTTTCAACATAGTCCCAGAGGTTGGATTGAAGGTTCCTAGAAGCTCGTCTGGAGGAACTAAATGGCTAATTGTACAGTTAGTATTAGGTAATCCATGCAACTTTGCACTTCAAGAGGAAAAAACCTATGGCTTTGGTGAACCCATCTTTTGTATATTATTGTAAGTCTCGGCTTTCTAGTGCAGTTAACTCAATTAGCTCAATGTGTATTTGCAAAGAAATAAAACAACACATTTCAGATTGTAAACTAAAATAGAATAATGCTGCAAAGCACATTTCTCAGTTAACTGTTGGTCAAATGATAAGTTTCATATGAGATTCTATGATACCTTTGTAAATAACTCTGTTCCTATCTGTTCATCTTTATTTACTTCAAATACCAGCGTTTCTATGCGGTAACACACAAGTACTAGTGAGCTACATCAAATGCCACCATATAGTAAAATATTGTTGACAATAAAATGGATTTACATGTCCACGAGTGTGGAAATAATGTTCCTCTGGCAACGGAAATGAAAATATATTACAAGTAGTATACGACGACAAAAACACTGGTATTTGATGGTACCACTAGTAGCTACTTATCTTTCTCAGCTTTCTTTCCAATCCAACCAGCTACAATTGTGGTAAGAGCTACTGTGGGTGGAAACCTAATTGGTGATGCAGCTTTATGTGCAGCATATGCCAAAGCAAAGGTACCGACTTTTTCCCCTGTTGCATCAGTGTTGATTCCTACCTGAAGATAGAAAATCATAATGTATTAATCATAGAATATTGTTTTAACTATATTGCAATCAACATTTGATTTTGCTTGAGCATTGTACCTTCTGAAGCAAAGATTGAACATCTACTCCAGCATTGACTAGTGCATAACAAAGACCGAAAGAAATCAATGACAGAGTAATGGAGGTGGCCAGGTATGCTCCTCCATATTTTGCCAGCAATTCCTTGGCTTGATCCCCTTTAGATTTCTGTTGTTCCTCCCCTTCTTCCTTTGAGCTAAAAATCTGCAAGAGACCGTAATCTTTTCCTTAGGATTTAGAATTTAGGGTTTAGGGTCGTTTCATATAGTCTATTGTGCATTGATGCTCGAAAATCATTTGGGACGCCAGTAGGTATAAGCTTATAGTATTATTCATTCTATCGATTAATATGGTAACCTAATTGGCGCTGATTTTGAAAAAATAAATAAGGAAACAATATTGAATGGTTCAAAACTCTGCTTATATTCATTTTCACTTGTTTTTGTCAAATCAACTCAGATTAGGTTAGTGTCTTAGCAGTAAAGATGTGGAGAATCTTAAACTTCTATTTCAAAGGGGAGATCGTTATCTAAGTTTTGAACTACATTGAAACATCGGTCCACCGTAGACCACATAAAAAACTTCCATACCGGGTATTGACTTTGTGTGTAGAACATTTCTTGAAGGTAAAGTTTCAACCACAAACATGTTTTGTTTACCAAAATCAAGGAAAGATAAACAACAAAGACAATGAAGTCTTATCCCACTAAGTGACATCGTCTATATGAATCAATTTTTGTTATAATATTCTATCTACTAACTCGAGATCTTTTTTTAATAACTTCTCTTATAATTTTTCTAGGTCTTTCTCTACTTTTAGCTATTTGATTCCTCTCAATTTGATCTACTCTCCTTATTACAAAATCTACAAGTCTTCTTTCTACATTCCCAAATCACCCTGGTCTATTTTCCACAATCTTTTATACTATGTGTTATCCCAACACTCTATCTAATATTGACATTTCTAATCTTATTCTGTCTAGTCCCACCACACATCTAACACAACATTTTCATCTCTTCTGCATACTTTATTCTCGTGTTGATTATCAACCACCAACATTTTGTCACGTACAACATTAAAGGTCTGACTGTAATCCAATAAAATTTTGCCTTGAGTTTAAGCGGTACCTTTGTGTCACAAAATTCTCTAAAGCTTTCCTCTATTTCAGCCACTTAGTTTAAATTCGAGGTTTACATCCTTTTTCATTTCTCTATTGTTTTGTATTACATACTTTGAATATTTAAAGTTTAAACTGCAAAAATCAGGGAAAGATACATATGCTAAATGAAAAGAACACCTAAAATAAAATTCAAGGGCAAACACAAAAAACACTTTGACTAAACTGCACATCTCTTGTTCCATACACAATATTTAATCTTAGACAGCACATATTCTACCTGACAAGCAAAACTAGTCATTTTGGTTAACTTGTTCAAGACTAATTTTTTCCTGAAAAATTTATTTCCTTTCCCTGAAATTTTCAGCAATTGTTTCCTGTAAGCTGAATCCAAACTGGGAACAGATTTATAGAGTAAGGAAACAATACACTCTTTGCATATACAGCAAGAAAAACAGGTAGCTTACTAGCACATGACATGACACATAAACATGAAATTGAAACTTTTCAGTTACTACATAGTCCTAACTAAACAAAAAATAGATAACAGAAAGAAAAAAAACAGGCACCTTCCAAAGACCAGCTTCAAGACCATACTTCTTAGTGACATCTTCAGGCGAAGATGTCTTTGAGGGGGTTTTGATTTCCTCAGTTTTCTCTCTAACAGCTCTAACTCTGAACTGTTTAGATTTACGTGACTGAATTGAAGCAAAACTGCAACAAAATCTATAACTCCCCTTGTTGCTCAGTAAAGAAGAAGCACAAGATGGTGATGGGAGATGAAGAAACGTTGCCATTGTTGGATCCTTCTTAGAACATGCGTTGTTTGTGTGAGCTCAGTTGAGCCAACAAAGAGAGAAAATGAAAACAGTAAACGATAATGATACAATAAAATTGTGTCGTTCAATTTACCTCGTTGTTTGCTTACATGTGACGAAGGGAAATTAAGCTTAAGAAGAGGATGTGGATAAGGCACGTGACTGTAATCTTACGGTCATGGGAAGAGGATGTGGCCAGGGAACTAGCACGGCAATTACATTGCCAAATCATTATTAAAAAAATTTGAATTCATTTTACAATTAGTTACGGGACACATAGTTATAGTTATAAATATAAGTTATATATATATATATATATATATATATATATATATATATATATATATATATATATATATATATATATATATATATATATATATATATATATATATATATATATATATATATATATATATATATATATATATATATATATATATATATATAATAAATTGTTTAATCAATTCTCTAATTTTAATTATATAAAATAATAATAAAAGAAAGATTTGAAAGATAAAAATTGAAATAAACAGATTACGACTGATATTTCATAGATACATTCACATCTATTTGTGAATCTATATTTGCAAGGACATTTATTAAGATATGTTAATCAAATTATGTTAAAAAAAATTCTATGATTAGTCAAACTGAATTCTGTAGTGAATGACATTAAAATGAATAATTTACGGCTGATATCTCATAGATACATTCACATATATCCGTTGATATATCTCTGCAATGATCTTCATTACGATGAATAACTGTTAAATTGAGAAATAAAAAAATCTTAAATAAAAAAGACAATTATAAATTTACTTTTTATAATGAAAATATTTTAGATTAAAAAACTAAACTATTCATATTTTTATAATGAAAAAACTATATTATGCATATTTTAAAATGAAAATAGTAAATTTATTCATATATTTTTAAAACGAAAAATTAAATTATTCATATTTTTAATAATTGATTATGACACATCAAATTAATGAATTTATATAAAAAATATGTTCAAATATAAAATATTATATTAAAAGCAATCGTTTAAAATTAATATTCATGTTGATTCAGTTGTCCATAAAATCCACTTAGGAATAATAAATGATACAATAAGCAATTACTATATAATAAGATGATACGTTCTCTAACAATAAAATGAATAGAAAATTATGTAGAAAAATAGTTCTTGAAATTGTAGAGTAAACTTTAAATGTTATCAGTAGTGAGTTTTCTTATTAAATAAGATAGTAGAAAAGTTAATAATCAAATGTAATTTGGAAGGTCAAAGAGTTAGTAGGTTATGATAGTTTTTTATTAGTAGCAGTTATCTTTCTTAGAATTGTAGAAGTCATTGGGTCTATATAAAGACCAATAGTGTATTTTATTTTAAGAACAACAAGTTACACAAGTTTGCCTCTTTCTCTAAATAGTTCATTCGAAGTCGACTTCTGTTCTAACAAGTTGACATCATAGCTCATAGCAAACATGATGAATCAAATGCCATTGCCATGGCTAACAAAGTCAAATTACGAAAACTGGAGTATCCAAATGAAAGCTCTTCTTGGATCTCTAGACGCGTGGGATGTGACCCATGATGGGTATGAAGAACCAACCGAAGTTGGGGGATATACGACAACTCAAACTAAGGCGTTGAAAGAGACGCGATCGAAGGACAAAACGATATTATACATGTTGTTCATGGCTGTAGATGAATCAGGCTTCGAAAAGATTGCTGGTTCAATTACGTCGAAACAAGCACGAGACACGTTAGAGAGAGTGCTCAAAGGAGCAGATCGAGTGAAGCAAGTTCGACTCCAAACTCTTTGTGGCGAATTGGAGAGGATACAATGAAGGATACAAAAACTGTATCTGACTACATCCTACGTGTGCAAAAAATGGTGAATCAACTCACCAGAAATGGCGAGACAGTAACTGATGCACGAGTTATTGAAAAGATCTTGAGATCTTTAACAGACAAGTTTGAGAATATTGTGTGTGCAATAGAAGAGTCGAAGGACCTTTCGACGCTCTCAGTCGAAGAGCTCGTTGGTTCTCTCGAAGCACATGAACAACGAAAGATGAAAAAGAAGGAAGAAGCAGACGAAGAAGCAAATCAAACCAAGGAATCAAACAAAGACAAAGGTACTCTTTTCTCAAAACTTTCAGGAAG